TTTGATTAGTTACAACAAACAAACGGCAAAGACAATTATGACAGAGAAGCATAGGAATATGGTAATCAGAGATAAAATAAGGTAGCAAGTGCCCTTTAAATAATGAATTTGCAGCTGACTATGTGAAATATCGACACCTTTCAATGCAATTCACCAGTTATGAATTCAAATCTGTTGTATTGTTCTCACTCGTTATCCCTCTTATGAAGCGACAGGAAGCAGCTGAAGAGCAGTCGCGAAATTTTTTGGTGCCAATAAATCCTGCTGTTCTTGCCTACTTCAGCTTATGTAGATTAAATGATTGGCGCATCCTCATCGCCATGTCCAATCGGATGGCGTTTCTGGCGGACCACTGGAAGCCGGAAGGCATGAAAAATGCAAAGTTTAGGAAAACTTCGTGAAACTTTTGAAACGAATGACTATATTGTACCTGTACTAGCAAGGCTAACTAAATATGCTAACTAAACAATTAACTAACTAAGTAAATAACCAAGCGATCAACAAATACACTAACTAACGAACTAACTAATCAACTAAGTAAATATACTGAATAACTTTGTAACTAAATAACCAACAATCTGACTAACTTACCGACCAAATAACTCACTATGCTAACCAACTAACTACCTATACTAACAAACTGACCATCTAACTGGCTAACCAACCAGGAGACTAACTAACTATGCCTACCCGCAAAGTACTTATTGCTATTTAATTGTACACACTAATTGACTGACTGATTGGTACATCACCTTCGCCATATCTAATGGGATGGCGTTCCTGCACGGACTACTGAAAGCAGAAAGCCGTAAAATTCTAAAGTTTGGGCAAACTACGTAAAACTTTCGAAACAAGTGACTATATATTAACTGTACTAACAATACTAATACAAACAGACTATGCTAACAAACTAACTGATTGATAAACTAACTAAATAATTTATGAATTAACTAAATAGCCAACCACCCAACTATACTCACCAACTATACTTACTACCTAACTAACTAACTGTACTAATTAACCAAATAAATAGCTTAACAAATTAACCAACCAAATGACTAATTAACCGACTAAATAACTGTGACTACTCACTAAACAATTATATTAACTAGCCAACCAGCTAACTAGACATCTTCACTAACTAACCGACAATACTTATTAACCGACTAGCTGGCTAACTCCGATCGGTAACTAACTCAATTGTGGGTGAGCTGCGTAACAATTTCAAATCGAGTAACTATATATTAACTTCTTATGTGACCGGCTTCCTTAATGACATCTTGCGGGTCTCTCAATGATTGGAAGTATCACTCAAACATAATTTCACAGAAGCCGTCCCAGAAGCCGTCGCGCCTCGCATGAAAGTGTTCGACCAATAACTGTTCAGCAATCTGAAGCCCGTCCGCATATCGCGTTTTTTACTCACTCGCAAATCGGTTCGTTATTTTTGAGTTTGGCGAGCAGTTATCAATGTTCCTTTGGTATCATGATGGTCACCTTGTTTTTCTTTTGACCTCGCTTATTATTTGTCTCCTTACGTCTAGTCTTCGATCGAAACTCATATATGGTAATGAATTACCAACTGCATAAGATTGCGCTTCTGGCCTCCATTCTATGCGTATGAATGTATTCTGAATCTGGTTAAAGAATATGCAACGTCGCGTTTGTTTATTTCCCACGACGTTGAAGCAACAAGCAGGCCCGTCTGTCCAGACCTTAAAATAGCTGTGATGGCGGACACCGTGACCATTTGGGGAATGAATGCTACTTTAGTTACCACACAGTTATTCCACCTTTTTGTATATCTCCACGGGACATCCTTCACACCTGTTTACATGTCTTCGAAATGTTGGGTGATATGGTTACGCGACTGGATAGAGACAAATAACACTTGGCTTTCTACGTGGCCGTGGATTTCTCTGAGTAGTTTGTTCCTCAGCGTCGTTTTTGCACCAACAATCTCCTCGGTACGCTTGAAACTGCACTGGCTGCCATAATTAGGTACCGGGCGTGACCTTGAACTACAAGGCTCTGAGCGATGGGAGACTGCTTATTCAGGAGTTAAGTATCTTCCTATCTGAGTCATTTGTAGCGCTTTCACGCCACTGGCTATCATAAATTGTTAGGGCAACTATGGTTATTGATGAGGCCGACCCAGAGGCCCCTTAAGTTAGACCCGTTTGAGGTCTCAGACAATTTACATGCGTCTTTCGTTGCCGTCACTCCACCTGGACCATATGATGTTATCATGCAGGCATACTAAATCAAAATGACTTTGGAAATGAGCGACCGCAATATCATAAAATAGTCACTTCTTTCGGCTACATATCCCGTCTTTTCTGTAATCCCTGCTCTTCCGTACCATATTTCCTTTTTGGGAAAGCATCCGTTAGTTGAAGTTTTTTGTTCTTGATCCAGAAATGCCTCTCGCTTACGCCACAGGGGTGGAACGGCTGGAAAGGACCAAAAGAATTCTTGCGGCGTTGACAGAATTCTTTTTGGAAAACGTGTTTCGGATCCGTTTTCGTCAAGTGTATTCATTTAATATAACACGTTGCCAGATAAGTCGCTTTCAAAAGATAGTTTGACAAAAATACTTCCGTCGAAAGTGTCAAGATTTTTGTGGTCGTGCGAACTCTGTCACTTCCCAGTTTGTGGCTTCCATTGTAACCGAGTTTTAGAAAGACCACGATATTTCACCTTCATCTGTAGGAGGTTGCGGAAGCGGGCCAGGGCAGAAACGCCGAAGTCATGAGGCGGACAACGAAGAACGTGCATTTATTACCCCGGTTGTCTTTATTGGATGACATGAGGTATTCCCGCGATGTTGTCGCGGAATATCACATCTTATTGGAAACCGCGTCAGTGTACTTTACTACAAAGGCCGTTCTCAAGTAGCGGTTGTCGCCCATCCGCGCGCACAGCCCGGAATTCACAACCATGCAGGAGAAATGGCCGAATTGATGCGCAGTACATGCGGAGTTTTGTGCCGCTGCAGATATCGCGTCGATCTCATAGACAACTAGGGGGTGTGAAAGTTTTGCGAGTAGCATCGATTCGGCAGATGGTTTTATTATGTTCATCTGACAGCAACTTTGTCCCGAGGTATTTGATGGCCATTAATCCTGAGGAATGCATTCTCCGGGTCAATAATGGAACTCGAAAACAATTTCGCCCTCCCAGCGCTGACTGATAAACAGGCTGATTTAGTAACCTCGTTCTCCCGCTACATTATATTTTGCAGATCGTTATGATTTAACACTATAAAGGCACTATCCTCAGCATAGTCGAGGGCAGTCTTAATGAAAACGGCGTAGGTCTCTTCCCGAAATCCAGTTGTCGGATATGATAGGCCACAGAGTGCAATCTTGTCACGCTAGAACGAATATCAAAAGATTATTGCGGATCTAGACCCATGTAATGGTAGAGACAACAGGCCTTGATCACGATGGTGATTATTGCAGCATGCTATGTGGCTCCGTTATTCACCATGTAATGAGCAGAATCGAACTTTGCAGCACAGCCGACAAGGCAAACGATTGTCAGTTACTGTTGGTAATGACACATTTTAAGAATGCGCCGTAAGGTCACTATTATTCGGTGTGTCTAGCCCCAACTTGAAAGCCGACATGCCTGTATCTCTTCCTAGAGTCATGCATACTCTGAAAGTGTTTGTGAAAGATAAATACAGAAACCTTTGGAGCAGTGCTAGTGTCGTAATCAAACGGCCACAAGTACGGTTTCATCTTCCTGCGTTTGCCCAATCACCACACTAAGTCAGAATGCCGACATCGATAGAAAAATTGTAGACTAAGGCAGAGAATATCGTCCTCTCGGAGCGTCCTGAGATGGATGTCCGCATGATAATTCATAAGTTGAGGGAAGTCATAACGTTGCTGCAGAGACGGAGAGCCGGGGTGGGTTGGCCATTGCATTTGAGGTGCTCGAAAGGCGTGCACCTCTGTTTAACTTTGGCCGGCTTATCAACACTCAGTTCGTTAGTAACCCCGCGAACACACTCACTCAGTGCCTAGGACCTACCAATAAGGTATATAAGCATACCTATGTACCTCACTTCATAAGACCTATGATGTACTGATGATCGGTAACGACCGTAAGGTAGCTGTCAGCGTCTGACCTGTTGCACTCTTAGCGAGCTGCCTATGTACCCTTTTCTTTATCACAAACAGCAATCTTCCCGGATTCTTCCGGATGAATAGGTCGTCAGTGTAGGACCTCTCAAGGGGTAATCGCTGTCTATCATATTTCAGTCTCTTGCAGCAGTGTAGAATGAACTTCTAAATGAGATGATTCACCAACCCTTAACCTGTATAGGGACTACCGAAACTTGCCAGAAGTGTGGACCGGGTCGATTTGCGGTACGATAAAGTTGTGATTCAGCCCTGATGAATTGCGAACCACGGCCTTCCTGGAAAGAGGCGCTAGAGCTAAATTTTACGTAGTTCATATTAAGCTGCTTTTCGTCCTAAACTGAACAGGATTGGCTAACTATTGCCAGTTTATTGACGACACACCAACCGAGTCATCGTTGAGACCCTTTCTGCCTCCTAGGCGATTTGCAGTCACCAGTTAGTGCCCAATAGTTCACTTATCGGTTATCCGGCATTAGCCTATCCGGTCTTATCAATTACCTGGCTGCTTATCACTAGACTGCTCTCTGTCAGATGAAATCGCGGCCCAAACACTGGTTCGGGCTGCTTTCTCACCACCTGGCCTCAGATGAAATCGCTACCAAAACACTGATTCGGGCTATTGTCTCACCACCTGGCGTCTCGACTGCTGATCCGCTGTCATATATTCCTAAAGTTTTCGATATGAAAATTTGCTATCTCCCACTAAGACCCGCGCTGCATATCCTGTAGGTTAGTTGGATGACAGACAGTTGGACCCGTCTTTTACTTTCAGTCAGTTAATATGTTCTTGTATATGCTCTGTTTAACATTCCGCATACTTTGTTTTTTTCCACAAGTTGATAAAGAATGGGGCTCTCGTTTATCGGAATCGCCTTCGGCATCCTTGCAATTATTGGAATAGCGGTCCTTGTCTACTTTTGTTGCTGCCGGAAGAAGCAAGCTGCTGAAACATCCCCACCCTTCGAACCTGCCCCTGCTCCCATCTATCAACCCGCAGATGGCTTTCAGGTTGTTATTGCTTCCTAAATTCGGTTATATCCGGCATCATCAGCCTTTTTCGAATTCTCCTCTCTCGTCTATTGATTGTTTCTATGATTTGTCCAGATCCTCTGTGTCCTCCGCTCGGAATTTTAGAGTGGGTTCTGTAAACTGCATCCTCAAATAGTCTGTTGTATAAGCCGTCGTTGGACTGTTAACATTGGGAAGAGAAGTCATCTATCGAGGGACTATATACGTGAATGACTTCCGTATGAAAACATTGGGTGTTCAAACTCATTAATTGGCACAAACTTATCATTTTTCTCAGACTTTTCATTTTTGGTTATTGCCCAATGCCGGTATTTTCTTTACATTGGGCAGAGAACAGTGAAGCTAAGGAGCCGTTTGCGCGGACTGCAAATACTTCCGTTTAGTCGTCTGCCAGTCATTTTTAGTCCTCGGTTTTTATTTATTTGGATTGCGCCCTCTGTTGACTTGAGACTTGTAAGCAACGCCGTACTCGACCCTCTGGTTCGCCCTTCCGCTTCATTTCGCTACACTTCTGGCTTCTTTTTCCTCAGTTTGACTTTTGCGAGCGATGATTTCCACCTCAGCATGGTGGGCGCAGCACGGTGATTTGCGCGTGAAGTAGTTTATAGTTATAGCGGTCTTGCGCAGCGACTGTCGCACTCTCTCCTTCACCCGCCCGGGCCCGGTGGCACGACAGAGTCAGAACGACTGGAGGTGGGATCAGCCGCAACTGCTAACAAAGCCAAATAGCCCGTCTTCGCATGCCACACATGTCTGGTGCGCACACGATTGGCCAGGTTTTCCCATAAACATCAAAGCGGGGCTGGTGGTTGGGATCCTATCTGAGTGGGAGTGCCGTAGAGGCTACACTAAGGAGTAGTCATTGCAGCCTGACTTTCAGTCCTGAGGGCACCAAGTTACTCTGCCAGTTGGCGGTTTTCCAAACCACGACTTTTAGCGCATTCTTATAACTTCCAAACGCGTCAGACTTTTTTTTTATGTTGAGATGTGCTGAAGTGTCGTGGGGACGGCATCCCCAGAGTTAACCTCAATCATTCTTCCCTGTATTGCACCGTCCTGCTGTCCAAACCGGTCAACCATCTGACATTGGGATTGAGCCCGCTCCACTTAATACAATTATCACGTAAAACCTCGAAATATTGAGACGGGCAGTGATGATGCCTGAGGCTTGCACTGTCAAGAAAAAAAAGGCGCTGGATTTTTTTAGCAGATTCCTCCCACCACAATGGATAGGATCTATTACAATCATGCGTAGCCACTCTGGAGCCCCGTTTACTATAAACACCGACGGCCACGTGTTACCCTGAGTCTCCTTAAACTCTTGTTGGCCGGACATAGGTCTAAGGATCACCAAGTTGCCACAAATTCCAGTCTCTTTGTCATGCCGAGCCTTCACTGCCCACTTACTCGTGTTGTCTTAATGCCTGCCTCCAGAAATCATAGTTCCGTAAACACTGTTTGGAATTTTTGTTTCCTGTCTACAGTGCTCTGTTTTGGCTGGTTGTTTGTTCTCATACAGTGCCCTCTTTCGTCGGCGTGGGACGGGGATAACAGCCAGTCGACGCGAGCCCTGACAGATATTTCCCCTCGCCCGAGTTGGTGATTTCCAGCTAAAAGTCAACGTAGCAACGACCGCCAGCGCGTTGCTGATTGCCCGCTTTTAAGTAATTTAATTAACAGGCAATGGTTACCGACACAAAGTCCTTGGCGACATTAATAGTCTTACGTTTCGTCCCGTAGTGCAAAGTAAATGTGCCACGTGAAGTGTCTGTTACATTTTTTAAATCAATAACTCGACTTTCGGGCTTTAAAGGATGAACCCTTGATTTCTCACGACTGTTCTGTTTTAAAATAACACGAAGGATTGTCGATAAACGCAAGAATGCGAGTTCTATAAATAGTGGAAGAGACGCGATCGCTGGATAGAGAATTTTATCCACTTGGCGTTTCCGGATCACACGCGAACCCATCATCAGAGACAGCAGTATTTATAGAACGCAGTTCCTATGCCACCATACATTTTTTAAAATTAGTGATCCTTATTCATTGTAGACAATTCTATTTGGTGCGAGAATTGTTTGATTGGAGCAACTTCATCACTTGCGTAGGTTATCGGCGTGATAATTACTCGGTTACTCCGCTCACCGATGCTGTCAGTGGAAGCAGTGTTTTTCCGCTTGCTCTCTGTGTAACTAATAACTCTGTGCAGGCGAAGTCAACACACCTGTTGGCGGACGGTGGGCCGGAGAATCATGACTCGGGCAGTTCGCTACTCACGCGATTGTCACCCGTAATTTCTTCTTACTGTTTCTGTTGCATGTTCGACCATCTGCGTCCAACGTAGTCTAATTTCTCCGATATGGTTGCTTTATCCGCAAATGCAGCAGATCCGAAAAACAACTGTAGACGTTTCGTGCCGGGACAACGGGTCTCGACCCTATCACTCGACGCCTGATGGTTGCCTGCCGTTTACCGTACTGGAATGGAAAGACGACTGACGCCCTCCGGAGGGTTCTTGGCGCCAATACCCAGTTAGTTCGTTGAATGAAAACTTTCCAAAACATAAAATTCAGGACTCGAGTTCGGGAAGAATGACCAACTGCTGGTTTTACAGCAGCAAAGTTAGTTGAAGTTGCCCAGACTACTGGACAAGTGGTGGCGCTCTCCAACGTCCTTGGCCATGGGCACGGACACGGGCGGCTGGACTACTGAAAGCCAGGACGCACTTTGGGGCACGAACTTGATGAGCATATGATGTGATGTGGGAGACCAGGGGAGTAATGCCCATGTGTCTCTCCTGCCCCACCGTCCCCCTAGGTTTTACCATCATAGGTTGCACCTCTATGACACCCTACCTTGCCGACGCGGTTTCACTGATAAACGGCAAGGTCACCGTTATGAATTCATGAGAACTTCAGGTGCCACGTGCTACGTTTTTTTTCAGGACAAGAAATGCCAAGTTTAGGATAAAACTATCCTTGGAGAAAACAGCCGAGTTCAGGGTATTTGTCGCTATCGAAAACGTCGCAGCTGCTAATAGTTACCTGCGGTCAGCGTCATATATGCGAACTGCGAATTAAAAGGTGCTGTTTTGTAAACGCCCGGCTTCGCTTAGGAGACATTTACTACGGAAAGGCATTATAGGGGAGATTTTAATGGCCATTTCTGGATCATCCGCCGGCATAAGCCAGTCATACCAGACTCCGGGCAACCTTGGAATTTTAAACCGGAATTTGTTGATCCTAGAGAATTTTGGTTAACAGTTCTACCACGGGCTACGAGTCTGCATCCTGTCGGCTGTAATGGAGAGCAGTCAGAGAAGGTGGGTTTTCATCGAGATGTTCTGATTGCCGAACGAAATTAGAGTGCGTTCCGCTCAGGAGCTCCAGTTTAGAACCTGTGCTGGAGGTGTCTCGGTGACATGCGGTCAATAGCCGCCAAATGTTACAGCCGGAGGCTAGGCAGCCTGGAATGTATACTTCAAGCAGCCATAACGAACGGGAAAACGAAATTGCAGCTGGACACGAGAATAGGTACACTTCGTATTATTACAGGTGGCTTTTTGCTAAATTTCAGGGAATACCTATTCCCATTTCCAAACTTTAGCCCTAACCATCCTAACACTAACCTTAGCCATAATCCCCCTGGAATTTAGCGCGGGACCACCTGTAATACAGGGAATGGGGGATGGGGTGGGGTGAGGGTGTGCACTTTTTACCGCACCGTACGCGAAATCGCTCGCATTCCGTTCGTTTGCCAGGGGAGACCGCCAAATGTCACTCCAGTGTGATTTTACATACTCACGAACGCGACCAACAAAGCCTGTTTTGAAAGTGACAGAGCACGGGCCCGGTGAGCAATAAATCAGGATTAATATCTCAGGCGTGCCTGGTCCGGTGTTCGTGCACAGATAACGAGCCAGACGTGGCTATTGCCTCCTGTCATGTCTTTGTCGGTAGCACTTCTACGTTACTGATTGGTGATTGATAAGTGAACTGCGAGTTAAAGGATGCTGTTATTCAATTTCCGGGTTTCGCTTGGGAGGCCTTTGCTGTCGGGAAGTATTACAAAGAAGATTGTTATAACTATTTCTGGTCTATTTTTCAGTGTCTTTGTTTTGTTAGCAATTTATCCCTCTTCACACTCACACTTTCCGTCCCCATATTTTAAGCTTATTCTATAAAATATGCGGATTTTACCCCGGGGCTCTGATCAAGTTTACTTATGGTCCCATCCCTCATTGTTCATGTTGATTACGCCTTTATTTTTGCCTTGTGTACATTTAGGAGGTTATTCGCACATTTATACTGCAAACCCGAAATTCGTTGTGTTTGTGTTCAATGCATTGAAGCAGCAGTTCCCGTCGAACTACGTCATATAGAATAAAGAAACGTTCATTGCTAGAATGGCAAGCAACCGGCAGTTGATAACAAAGTGATCCGGCTTGAGGGACTGTGAAAACTATCACAAATCTTCGTATATTCCGTTATTTTATTAAAGGGTTGCTTCCGAGTTCGCTTTAGTTTGCACACTCTAGACTAAACTGTAGTCTAGAGGAGGAATGACTGCTACCCACAAAGGCTAGGCCACTTTCTATCTAGTGGTTAACTATTTGCTGATGAAATCCTCTTGCCTGATACCAAAATCAGAGTCCTACTCACGCAGTTATTTTCCCTTTACTCTGCGCGTCTAATCCTTGGGTCCCAAGTATGTCTTGTCAACTTTTCATAAGTTCTGTGCGTTATCTTACGGCCGTTGTTTCACTTCAGCCCTCAACTTTTACGAACTGCTACTTCCTTTACAACATAAGGAATGGCGTCTAGTTCCCCAAGGGCTTCTACGAATAGGGCGTTGTCTTGCTCACTCCACCATTTTGATGCACAATCCAATCCAATATGCATTTAAAGTTATGAAGTTTAACAGAACAGTGAGGAGGGGATATTTTCCTCAGAGAATCCTAATCAGTCACTACGTCGAATAGTTATCAAATTACTTTGATCGCCTATTTCGCTAGAGAATCTCATCATAAAGAGCGACGCCCCACCTCTCGACGAATCCCGATGTTGGTACTTTGTCTAATACCTCTCTCACTGGTGTTCGCGGAGGTTGGCGAAATTGGATACCATTGCTAAGTGTATCGTGAACCTCAAACAGCCAATTATGGATGTTGCTGGATTCTATTTCCTATCAGAACTTGTTGCGATCTTTCGGCGAGCCTCTGAAACGCGCTTTCACACCCTCTTGGTAAACCACTACAATAGTCCATGCCACTTGGGTTTGATGGTCTTTTTGTTGGAGTATAAACAGGTGGTTGCTGGTACTAGCGTTTATTAATACACTGGGCAGGCTGAAGTCATTGCGTTCTATTGGATACCGTTTTTAATGCGCTACAGGCGTGTGACATAACGAATGCCTTTTTGATTGGTAAACCTCTGAATATACAGCTACTTTTATTCCTTCCCCACAGCCTCCTCCTCCTCCTCCTCCTGGGACGGGACCGGTTGGCTGGAATGTAAGCCAGCCCCCCGGAGTCTCGGGTCCGGGGGCACCCTATCCAACAGGACCAATGCCTGGAGGTCCTGTGGGATCCGCATGGGGTCAAGCCCAAGCGCCATACCCATCCGCTCCCGGAGCACCCCCGTCCTACCCGTCGGCCCCGCCGCCGTACCCGGGTTGATTTTTCGGTGAAATATCTCAACAACGATTCGACCTCGTCCACATGTCTTCTCCTCTAATGTTACAGATGTCGCTCCCGTGACCCGTATGCCGTTAAGTCTTGACAGCGGGCTTTCGAACTTCCTAATATTTGGAAAACTGCTTTCTTCCTTTTAAATTGACGCCTCTTTTGTAGAACTTTGCCTTATTCTTATTGACCCTGAGCAACTCTGTCGACTTTCTCCGCTTTATTACCTTTTCGCAGTTAAAAGTTGCATATTTTACATTCTGCGCTAACGAAATTGAAGGCATTGTTTTCCACTGGAGCAAATATATGATGTCTAGGACTTTCAGCAGCACAAACGACTAGATCTTTCGGTGGAGGAAAAGGTTGCTTTCTCCGGGATTGCGCCGAATACATCACCAATACCCCTGTTAAGTGACAACGTGTTGTAGGTATAATGACAAACTCTCGCAATGTTTTAGAACTTGTTTGACTAATCATATGTACCGCAGGTCGTCCGATTACTCGTTTTGAATGTCTCGGGGACTTTGGATTTTTCTTTTTGCTTTTGTGAATGAAGTGTTTCATCGCTCATTTTCGTAGTGTGCGCTGGTCAGTTAGATATTATATAGGAGTGAGTACCCCACCCGTATTGCAGGTAACCTTGCGCTAAGTTCCAGGGAGATCAAGATTAGGAGGATTCTAAATGCTCGCAAGGGATTTAATGCAAGGCCACCCGTAGTACGGGGGTACTCATTCCCATGTGCAGCCATCAGTTATGCCGCGTCGTTTTCTGGACAACACGTTGCTGCGGTGTCTGTAGAGTCAACGTTCTCCCTGTGCGAAAAGATTACGTCCGGATTTCTCACGAACGACGCACAGCAATAGTGCGTCTCCAAATCCGAAGTCGGGCCCGACAGCGGGGTAGGCAACCGTTTACCTTTTAGGGTGTAGTCGAACAGGAGGAGTTCCTGACTGATTTGTCCCATTAAGTTTTGATGCTGAACTTGGTACCAGACGCTTTTGCTGTAATCACACTACGCGTAGTTCGCTAGCCGAGCCAAACTCTAGGTTTGGACGCTGGGCTCACTGCTCAGTCGTGGAGCGTTGGAATCAGAGCCCAACTTTGAACAGGTCACGGTTCAGATCCCTGCTTGCCAAACCCACATGTGGTTGGCTGGTGATGAGCAATAAGCCGAAAATAGTCATTGCAGTCTCCGTTGTCTTTGTCGGGATTCCCCCTAAATGACGTACAGATACTCGGTCGGGTGAAGACACTGCTATGACAACAAAAACTACCAAATAGGACTGAATTACTTGTTTGAACTGTTTCACTGGATGTGCGCCCCATTAATTTTGCACGTCTATGTTTGTGACGACACGGGTTCAAAGAAAAGGAAATAGGCAGGTTACAATTGGACGCCAAAAAACAGACTTGCGGACCCCTCCATGCATTACTGTGTCTTAGTTCGTTAAAAGGCAACTGAGGGGGCACCAAATGCAAATGCGATACGGGCCAACGAGTGCACTACGCGCCCAGTTTGTGCACCCCAAAGATAGAGTTGGCCATCTCAGTAAGAAGTCGTTCACAAGGTTCCGTGGGACGACCGCAACATATATATATATATGAGCCGGTAGTCACCGCATCGGCGGCAAGATACCGGCCCTTAATGGTTATGACGAGCGTTCCCAGCCCGCAAAGGACCAATTCTGCAATAAGACTGGAGATTTGGGAACCTGTCGATGTTCTCGTGATTTGTTCATATAGTTCACAATTGAATTAAAAAATTTCGTTGGTTCGCCGAAACAGTTTGAATGGATGCTCGATCTTTATGTGTCCTTCCACATCGCCATACTTATCCTCAAATAGTTCGCTTAGAAGCTCTTGCGTCAACTTGGAAGGTTTAAGTTTTCTAGCGAGATAATGTTAAAGGAAACCATGATTCGTTCAGGTTGAATACTCTACTTTCAGAGCTCAGCGGAGAACCGTGTGACCGAGTGCATTGAGGTCCTCGATCCCTCTCGTATAAAGTTACAATTTTTGGAACATACGCCAGGTAAGATTTTAAGCGGAACTGCCTCTTAGAGCACCGGCTGTCTGATGTGGGATGCTGCACTCATGAATGGGTGGTAATTCGTTGTTGTTTCAGTTGGCTATGCTTGCAGCCATTCGTTTAGCTAGATCACGTTTTTGCCGCCAGGCTGGTTTAGTAGCCTGGCCAGTAGACTGATCATCAATCTGGCAAGTGACGAGGGCCGGCGCCTTCTCGTTTTCGTCGAGATGGCCCATTAAAACGTCTGTTTTTCATTTTCCAGCACGACGACCCACTTCAAGAATGCCAGCTCAACCGTAATTTCCGACGATTTCTATCCTGTGCTCACAGCAAAGTGGGAAAAGGGACGACGACTTGCGGATGAATTCCTTTTTATTGATGGCAGACTTGGGAAGTATCTCTCTCTTCTCTTTCCTTACCCGGCTCCGGTATCATGACAAAGTCCGGAAGACCGGAAGCGGCGGACAGCTCAGATGACTTGCGCAGCGTGAATCCGTCAATGTTGGCATTTGTTATGAATGCTCGTTCCCAATAACGGCTGCCAGATCCCGATCTAGTTCCACCGTGGGTCCGGCTCATCTAAGTATAGCTCGCGCTGGTGTGAAAAACATACACAGGATTGACCGCAAAGACAGGGCTACCCCCCTCAGTTGGCAGACTCCCAAGTTACGACTTTAGCGCGTCGTGGTAGATTCGAGCTCATTAGACTGCACTGAAGTGCTGTGGGGATAAAGTCCCCCAAGTCGATCGTACTCCCTCTTCCCTCTCTCGTCCGCCGGTTGTTTGCTCGATCCCATCATTCGTCTGGAGTTGGAATTGGACTTAGTGACTAACTAAGGTAAGATAGTCCGCCACCATATACCACAAACAACGTAGTGACCTAGTTATGCCGCAGAATATACCAAGGAACATGTTTTCACTTGCTTGCAAGGTGCACGTTCTGTGTAAGTAGTGAGTTAGGTGAGTCATGTTCATTTCTGCTCTGGGAATGTGTGGATTGAGGGGAGGTGAGGCGTGGTGGTGGGATTTTAACTGTGGTCTTTTACCGCTGATTTCCATGGCGGCGCAGTTTGGAGACTAGGCTCATGCGATGATCGAATATCCTTTTACAGTGTGCGCATTTGAGGCGAACGTGACGAGTATGTGTTAATTCTTCTGACACTGGCTCGCTAGTCTTAGCAACCGATCAGACCAATGCGTGATGTGAAGATGCAGTTGTCATGGCGACATGGTGGGTTTAGGTCCGCGCTGGTTGTGCTTACGCGGCTATGGTAGCGGTAGTGATGGGTTGCGGGGCGTCGGTCCTGTCTTTACCGGTGGTACAGGTGGTTGTGATTGTTGTCGCCGTTAGCTTGGGATTTGCGGTGTCGATGGTGGAGGTGATGACGGTTGACGGAGCATCGGGAGTTTGTTCGCCATTGGTGGCGGTCGTCGACGTCGTGAAGGTTGCGGTAGCGGAGTTGGAGGCGATTTCTGCGACGCAAGGAGGGGCTGCCGCGTTGGCAGCGCAGTGGACCCGCAGATGTCCGACGAGACCGTTCCATACGCCGAATTTTGTTGCTATCGTAAATATAAAGTAATGCGACTGGCTGTTTGAAATGTTGGTTCGCGAGACTTGAGACTTGCGAGTCGATATTTTAGCTTTGACAAAAACTATCCGGCTGGTTTCGTAGACTATCGTTCCAGTTTTCACTCCTGTTTTCCAGACCGATCTATTCCGTGCAAGATCATCTTAGGTCTCGAGGTAGATTCGAGGATTACTGAGGGAAATTTTTTAATATTATTTTAGCGTCGTTTTTGTCCTGTGAACGAACATCTGTGATGACATCGTCGTGGGGTAGCGGCTTGCATAGGTGCTCGTCGTCCATTCTCACGACGCGACTGCTTGGTGTGCATGCTGTGAATTCCGAATCGCTCCAGAACTTCTGTGTCTGGAATCGTCTCGCCACCCCAGCTCAGATATTTTCCAGATGCAGTTGAGGCGGAAGTGATTGAGTTCTCTCACACGGTACAGGTTTCCGCCCAGTACAGCGTTATCATGGTTGATGGTTCGATATATCTTCAGTGTTCTGCTGGGGTGGAATCTACGACGATTTCAAACTAAATCCAATAGTCAGCCGAAAGTCCGGCTGACTTTGAACGTTTACTTAGCCACCTCGTCCGCGATCCTGGGATTTTTTGAAATTATACTTCCGAGATGTGCGAATTTGTCCGCTGATGCAATTTGTGTTCCATTGGCATTGATATGGAATTCATTGTATTGCGCGCTTGGCGCCGGGTGGCGTGTGACCACCGTCTTCTTCGTGCTGATGGTCGGTCCGGAGTTGGGGTAACCGAAAGTGAAAAGTTTCACACTCCGCCTTCCGTCCACTTCCGTTGTAGTGTTTAGTGTGCAGCCATCTGCGATCCATGGACTGTGGACACTGGCCCTATATGTTTTCAGACGACGAACGTTACACAGTATACCACCGGTTTGGTAATTGGTGTCGATCCCCGGCCGCTTCTCACGACAGGTCTCTGTCGGAATAACGGAGAAAATGAGACTGAATAGAACAGGATCGAGGACGCAGTCCTGTTTCACCTCATTGGTCTTCACGAATGCTTCAGAAGCTGCCTAGTTATCTGTAATACGAGTCATCATTCCGTCGTGAAGTTGGCACGTCATTTGTGTTAAGCACTCCGGAAATCCAGACCGTGTCATGATCCTAAAGAGTCTGTCACGTTTCACGAAGGCGAAGACCTTCACCGGATCGGCAATGTTATGTAGAGTTTGGTCCTCATTTGTTGGCATTTCTCCTGTAGTTGGCTGGCGGCGAAAATAAGGTTGGTGATTCCGCTTTGGCTTGCTGGGAGAAGTCTCCGCTCCAGGTGCATGTTTAGACGGTTGAGGACGCGAGCAAAGGTTTCCCCTGCAATTTAAAGTAGCGAGATGCCTCTGCTATTGTCACAGATTTTTCGGTTTCATTTGCGCTCCCACAAGTGAACGGTAATCACGTTTTTGATGTCGTGAGGGGCTTATTCTTGTTACCGCATTTGCTAAAGGAGCGAAATCAGCTTGTTCATTAGTCGAAGGCCGCCGAAGTTGTAGACTTCGATCGGAATTGCATCGGCTTCTGGTGCTTTGCAGGTGGACGTCTGGTGTACAGCTTTGATGGTTTCCTGAAGCGAGGGCGGTCAGTCGACGTTGGCGTTAGGTTCCATTTTAGCCAGCCCATACCTTTGTGTAGGACGACTAATTAAGCGCCGCGACCACATAGATAATGGCATTGGCCGGTTAAAAAACAGGGCGAGAACTGCTGGGGATCAGGATTTGCAGGAGGCATTCCGCAAACCGATATTTCGTACGCACAATATAGATGCGCTACCCTCGCCCAGCCAGGAGAGCACACCGTCAGCCCACAGCGAGAATCAGCAGAAAGCTCTACATGTGCCATTGCGTTCGGGCTCGGAAATATGGGCCCATCGTGCTACAGACGGCCTCACGGCAAATTCCAGACGCCTATTCCCCTGTCCTGACTTTAACCCTGAACATAACCCTCCTAACCCTTACCTCCCGGGATTTAGGGCAAGACGACATGTAACGCGATGGTCCCCATTCCGTTGCCTGACCGTCACTACTTTATTATCTGACGCTGGATCCCTGTGTGCCTCAGAAAACTCAAACGAATACAATCAGTTTTCCGATAGTCAAACACCCACACTCACAACCGCAGTCTGGAAGCCGCATATTCGTCTACTCCGACGTCTGAAATCCGGAATCACGAAGTTTGTCTGGATTCGGTAGTCTTTTATCGTGTCTCCACGACGGAAATGCTAGAGTAAACCTTAAAAAACTTAATTGTGAGGGGAAAATAATTGTTGGCCGGAAACCTAACAAATGTGGGTTGACGCTTGGCCTGTTAAGCCAGGAAATCCTGAACTGGAAACTTGCTATTCCCTGTTGACTTTGAGCACAGTGCACAGATAGTTTCGTGCGTCAGTTAATCTTCAGACATCTGACGACAGAAGTCTTCTGGATATTTTAGTGAAGCAGTTCGTAGGGCTTAATGAGCTTAGGTCAGTCCCTTAACGGTGGATTTACACCTGAAACATACCCACTAGGTCAGGGATCGTCTTAATGGACTCACTTCAGACAGAACAATGAATGGTTCTGGCGACCTGCTGAATTGTCGCGGAATTGCAGCTCTTTGTAGATTCATTGTTCAGTTGTTTTTCAAAGTAGTACAACAGGCTCTTTGGGCTAGGTTGTATTTTTTAGGCTGGACACGGGAATATAACTTCCCACAGTACTATTAGTGACATTGAGCCCAAATCCCCTATTCTAACGTTAATCCCAATCCCGCCGGCATTTGAAGCAAGGCCACTTGTGGTAAAAGGGTCCATATTCCCCTTTCCAACCCTAGTTTGACTAAAGACGCGCAATGCAAAACGTTCGCGACAGGATAACAGTTGATCAGAGGCACGCAGATGTGACAATGTACTTAATTACAAACTTTTTGGCGGAGGAGCACATGCAACAAGCAATAGAAAGTGTATTTTATTTAGGATAAGACCATGGAAGCCAAATATCCCAGATCTAACGTTCAGCTGCTACCCATTCATGAGTGGGAGGGAGCGCAAATCATGAGCGATCATGTACTTTGAATTACTTCTGGGCGATTTATAATAGTGAGTGGTGACTTAACGAATCTTGAATGTTTCTAATGTAATGGGTAGCGTTCTAAGAAAAGTGGCATCGGTGACCAGAAAAAGGAAACTCACTTGTATTCACTACCGCAAATCCGCAAGATAACTAATTTGCGGCTGGTCCTTCGGGCTGTCATTGGAACCGCCAGACAGTCGATAACAAATTTGTCTTCCCTGAGTAGTGATGCCAATCGGGAAATACAGAAACCATCATTTTGGTAGCCAACCAGAGATGACGAAGACAGCAGGGCTCATTGACACACTAATGATACCAGAACCTTAATAGTCCCCACTGTCAGCACAAGAGGGACGAAAGCTTCCGTAGTATGACCCTGCTCTTGCCAGGAAAATGGTGTGCTAATGGTCGGATCACAGTTTTCTTAATGGTGACTAGCATCCCTGCATGGTCAGTTCAACCGCATCCCGACATTTGCTAACTAGAAACAGCTCGGGTGACAACAGTGCGCATTATGCGGAGAAAATTCGTCAAACATCAATCACTTGCCCGGTTGCCTTATTAAATTTTGTATAAGTCATTGGAAGATATTTAGTCCAGGAAGTATTTAAAACAGTTTTCCAAACTTTGACATATAAACCACGCCATGCTCACTTATTTATTTACTTATAAATCCGTTATGTGCGTCTGCTGGTCAAATTTACATATCCGGCATGGATTTCAGCCCCCTCCAAAGTCATATTTTTTGCTGGACACCATTAGTTTAAATACATTTACTATTACTTACAGCACGTTTTTGGTATCCCTTATCTCAACTTGGTCAATGCTTTACTTAGGCATTTTAGTTGATGGAATTGAACCGATTTCACAATAAATTATATCTTTTTGTGAATTTTCTCAAATTTTGCCAGTTCCGCTACCCCTCGTAAAATGAAGACAGTCTTCCAGACAAGTCCCATACCGCGTCAAGACTGAATGAAACACGCAGACTTTGAATTATTTTCAAACAGTCATGGTAAGAGTGGAATTTTAGAACTAGTGAACCTGCTTGACCTCATAAGGTAGGTTCAATAAAAGTTTATGGGATGTCAGAGAGTGCGGTCACACGTTCCTCCAACACTAAAATTTGCAACACAGCGCATATCAAATTGGCGTTGTCACTCAGAGGCTAAATCACTTAGGGAAGTCGGGACGTCAACCGGAGCAGAAACCGGGTCATTTCCTAAAATTGATCTAGTTATTACAATTCCTGATCCACATTCCCCGAACACGATTTGCTGCCATCGCCTCCTTCATTTTGTTGGAATTTCCCTTTGAAAAAGTGGAAGTCAAGTCGTTTTTAAAGTCTATTCGGTAACAATCGGAAAAAGGCCCCCAAAAGATACTGCCAGCCAAGACAGCCTGTCTTACGAGAAAGGTGGTAATATGGATTTTACGGGTGAGGCCTACGTATGCATAAGTAAAAGGCAAAGTAAGTATAGACTGTCGGTAAATTTCCTTTTCAAGCAGAAGAGTTTTGATGCATTGGCATATGGAAACTGAAATTAGGCGGGATAATAAAAAAAACAAACACTAAGCCGTGTTATTCAGTGTTGACCCTCTCCCGATTATTACCATTCATCTATTTTCTCCAAATAAACTCGCCGTCGGGCTGTCTGGCCTTCTTAAGCCCAGTGTGGTTACTTCATCCTGAGCTATACGGACGTGATGACGCAGGACGTTGTAAGCTGCAGGAAAGTCCAAATGACTGATTGATGGAAATGCCAGCGAATAACACGCCTCAAGTGTTAACCGTTCTGCTTTTATGTTTCTCCGGTCTCTCTGGAGATCGGAAGTATGCTCAGTTTCTTCAACGTGCATTGATAGATGAGAGTTTGGGTCAAGCTTCTGAGTCGCCGGTTTGTGCTCTTGTAGGCGGGTCTGTAGTTTCTGCCGGGTTTCCCAACATAGTTTCAGTCGTTCTCATTTCAACTTATTTTGTAGACAACCGCTGAGGTCTCAACGGTTGACGATGTGTCCTTAGGTTGCATCAGAGAACGCCAAATTGTTACTTGGGGTCGATGGGTTATGCTTACTCCGGGGGGTTGTAACAGTCGAGAGAAGGCCTCCGAATGGAACTACCGGCGTTCGATGTACCCTGCATTTAATGCCACCTCCGAGTCTAGACAACAGTAAAAATATTCACTAGCGAGATCACCCCAGTACGCTCTCCGGCTGATGCCTCGATTATACTTCTGCAGAGATCGCGACAACCACCTTGCCTCCGGCCCGAGTAACTTCCGTCATTATCGTCATTCTCGCGATCCTGTGGTCATGTTTGATGCCTGTGGTGGTACCAAAACGTGTGGTAATGTGGTTTAGTCTGCGGTGAATTGTCACAGGTTTATATGAAGGCACATGTGACTGCGTAGGCCCATGCGATGACTCAATGTGCGTGAGAAACGCCGGCAGCTGAGACGACGGCGACGGGTGTATGTTGGTACTCCAGGCACTGGTTCGTCCGTCTCTGTGCGATTGATTCGCAAGTGACCTACCGGGCCGGTGACTGGCGTGCATGTGCGGTGGCACTGTGAGCAAGATAGGCTGGGAGATGCTGAGTCGATTGGGGTTACGATGCTGCTAGTGGCAACCACGTTGGCAGCTGGAGGGTTGGTTGGGCTGGAGATGGGAGAGTTATTAGGAGTGCAAGATATGCTTGATGTGTCGACACTACGGTGAATTTCGCCGTCGTGGATGCGCATGCGACTGAATAGGCCCATGTAGTAAGTGAATGTGCGTGAACGGTGTGACAGTGATGGCGGATGTGATAAGTGTACGTGGGGAATCCTGACGCTGGTGCGCCGGCCGAAGTTCGATAGATTCACAAGCGATGCGTAAGATGAATGTGCAATCGAGACGAGGACAGGTTGTGATTGAGTCCACATGAGGGTAGAGGTTGACGGAACGTTGGCAATGCTCTCACTGATGGCGAGGGTGGAAGAGTTGGTAGTCATCACCGTAGCCGCGGAGGTTGTGGCAGGCATGATTAAAGTGGCGGTAATCGGCGGCTGGACATCGGGATTGTGACCATTGGTGGCGAGGGAGGTTGTCGTCGCAGATGGCGTAGGGGATGAAGCAGGGGCGACGGTATGGCGATTGTAGAGGCAGCAGGTGGAGTTGCTGGGTTCTTGTTGCAGAAGTCCGGAGATGTCTGATGAGGCAAATGTGTGCGCAGAAATTCTGTTGGTAGCGTGGGCATGTTTGGAGGGGATGTTTTATAGATGTTGTGGATTGCAGGCGCTTGAGACTTGCGATCCCACCTTTTTGGCTTTGGCAGTGGCTATCCGATTAATTTCGCGGATTGTTGCTCCAGTCTTCACTGTTATTCGTCAGGCTGACTTATCCTGTACGTGGCGTTCTCACCGTTGCGGTTTGATTTTTATGTTCTTCAAAAGCCTCTTTAGGGTGTCCCTGTAGCGGCATGTTTGGTCTCCTTTTTGGCGACCACCTGTAGCAACATCTCTGTAGAAGAGCCGCTTGGGCGGTCCCTGGTGGTCAATGCTCACGAGGTGGCCGATGCATCGCAGTTACAGATTCCTCAATATGGCCTGGGTGCTGAAGATTCCAGTCCGTCCCAGGACTCCTGTGTTCGGGATCTTGTCTTGTCAATTCAGCCTCCGTATTTACGGAGACAGATAAGGACGAAGCGGTTGAGCTTCCTGGCATGACCAGAAGTGTCGTCAGGACGACAGATTTGTACATCTCGCGTCTGAGGTTGAGGTGAAGACCTTGACAATTCCATACGGAGTTCTGCAAGCGGCCGCATGTCTGTCTGGCTTTGGAGACCCAGTGAGCCTCCTAGCTGTCGACTCTGATACAGCTTGAGATTGTGCTGCCTAAGAAGACAAAGTTTTCAACGGTTATCAGTTAGGTGTTGTTCCCGTGGATATGAGGAATACTGTTGCAGCGTTGGGCGGCGGTTGTTGCATGACTACCGTTTTTTCTGTGTTAGTCGTCAAATCGAAATTTGCGCAGATGGAGGCTAAGAGGTTCACGTTTCTTTGTATGGCTGCTTCTGTTGTGGCATTGGGCGCACAGTTTGCATTTCCTGGGATTCCTCTTGCAGCTAATGGGTGACGATGATCATGTCAGTGACTCCGCAGTGTCGCCGGAATCCAGACTGGTGTTCTGGGAAAAGTTCCTGTTTTGGATGGTCCTTGAGACCGTTGAGGAGGATGCATTCGAAGAGTTTCTCGGTGATGTTGTACAGCGAGTTTCCTTTATGATTATCGCCAAGTTGCCGATTAACTTTCTACTTGTAGGGATAGGAGATAGTCGCGTCCCTAAAATCCTGAGGTAATTTATCTTGACGTGACATCTCCAAGAGTATCGTAGTAAGTTTTCCCACCAGGCGGGGGTCGCCGTGCTTGTGAGCTTCGAGTGGGATTGCGTCGGGTCCCGGTGCTTCCCCCCTGGGGATTTGTTGCAGGACACTAACTACTTCAGGAAGAGAAGGCGTGAAGCTGAGGTCGTTGCGTTTTCACTTGTGGAGCCCGTCTGCGGCGATGCCTAAGGTTATGTATAGGCGACTAAGGGCGGGTCTGAATTGCACAACCCAGAACTTCGTAATCTGCTATTTCTGCGTAAGGTGTGTTGTTCCGGCGGGGCCTAGCCGCGGCGCGGTTATTTTGACTGTGACTACTTAGAACGTGTTGATTGAAGCGAAGGAGTTTTCCGTTTAACTGCTGTCCGTTATCCTTGTAGTTCCTCGACCACGCGATCCATCCACGCATCCATTGTTTCCCGCAGCCGTTGCTGCACCAGGCGGCGACATCTGAAGAGGACTACTTTTTACGTCAGTACGGCAGATGATGAAAGCTTTGTGCAGTCAATTCTTCTCAGCTAATAGGTTGCTGAGTTCTGCGTCGTCATCTTCAAAACTGTTTTGGTGTTGACAGTGTCAGTGACTGAGGCCAGGAGACGGCGGAGCGAACTGTGTTCCGTAGTTGCAGCTACTATGTTCAAGCGATTTTGCTGTTGTTCGGAGTCTCCAGGTCTTCCAGAAGCCGGATCAACTGATTGCTGGGATTTAAGCAATGAGCAGACGAATTCGATAGAACAGTATTTAACTTACATAGTGGTCGATTACCTTGTGGTCTCGTGCGAGGTTGCAGACGGAGCTTCAGCCTGGAGATGACGAGATGGCGGTCTGTCCAGCCGTCGGCGTCATAGATGGCCTTCGACATCAGCGTATCCTGTCGATCTCGCCTCCGGACTGGTGCGTAGTCCAACAACTTCAGCGTCGCGATCGGTGGTGCATCAAGGCCGAATACTCCCGCAACGGAGGCGGGAGATGTTGGTGTGGAAGAAAAGGTGTTCTGCGCAAGTTCACAGAAGGAGGCCGTTATCGTCCATGGGAATCGGATACTCCGTCACAAGCAGCATTGTCTGAGTCAACCCGAGCTTTGAAGTCACCAAAGTACAGTCGCCAAGGGACTATGCAGGTTCTCGTAGAACTTGTTCCCTACCGTTTCAGAGCTGGTCCTTGAGGAGGAGGGGTGCGTAGACGCTGACGAAAGTGACCAAGTGTGCTTCCGCAGGGTCATGAGTCGGTCTTTAATGTCCTGTGGCAGACAGAGAATTCATCCCACGATGTCGTTCCGGATGGCAAGAGTGACGCCAGCGTCGTGTCGCTGCGGCTTTGAGCCACCGATCCAGAAGGAGACGTAGCTTGCATCCACCTTCTCCAGTTGACCTCGTTCGGAGAAGCGGAAGTCGCTGAGAGCAGAGATGTCCACCTTGTGGCGCGCCAGTTCTCGAACGACTAGCGCCGTCCTCCATTCCTGTCGGTTACTCCCCCGATTGTCTAAAGGGGAGTGAAGATCCCAGGTTGCCAGAGCTAGCGAACTCACTTTAGCCGCCTGTAGAGTAGAGCAGGGGGTGGGAACTTGGGTTGATGTTTGCTTGATTGTCTCGACCGTGAGTGGTACATCTGTGAGCCACGGTATACTTGCAGGTGACGTGGTCCCAGAATTTGTTTAGGGCATTTTTTTCATGAGCTTCTCCTGCGGGGGAGTAAGCAGTGCTATTCTTAGCTAGTCATGCCAAAAGATTTCCGGCGACTGCCGACATTTTCTATGGACCACGGCTTTGTTTACTGGTGAGCGACCTGAGTCAGCCTGGGCCGCCTACGGGAATCTGTGTCGCTCTCTCCACAGTACTCAATCAGTCCCAGTCCCCCAATCAGCGGTCCTACCAGTGTAAGAGAAGCCGCATAACGTACCTGCAAACCGGGGATAAATGGCTGCAGAGGTCTGTCGGAACGGCATTTTTTATTTGGGCAATATTGCTTTCGGTTAATTCAATGTTTTCCATTAAACGTCTGGCGAGTGTTTCGTCTATTCATCGAAAAAACTAAGCCTTGTATCTCGTATGGGTTACAGCTAATTTCACACCTTCTTTGCCTTTCTCCTGCATTGATGGAAAGAAGCGCTGGCGTGGTAACAAAAGAGGAATAGGGCCCAATGTTTTCCTGTTATAATTCAAACCATCTTGTTCCTTCCACCAGTCTGAATCTGATTTATTATTTCCCAAAATACGAATTCCGTGTCGCTGCCCCTCGTAATCTCTGCGTACCGAGGAAACATTCGAATGCTCAATTGAAAACTTGTTCCACGAAACTCGTGTGCAATCAATATTTTTTTCTTGAGGTTTAGATACGCTCACTGAGCTTTCCATAAATAAAGGGACAGGTCCGGATTTAACGATGGCCGCACATTGCCTCTTTTGTACTCTAAAGAGTTATTGGCCATGTACTAGCCAGAGGGTGAAACAAGCTCAGTTTTAGTTTCGATTAACAAAGTGCGTGTCTGTGTCCTCCTCATGCGGGAGTGGACATTGAAATGATAATGAAAGTTTTGAACTTCACATCTTCTCTATCTGCGGTTAGAGCTAGTCGACCGCTGACGATACATGAACGGCCGTCTCACGGGTGTCCAGTTGTGAGTCCACGTGATGGTCGTAGTAGGTCGTTCACTTGCTTGCAGATGTAGACTACGCCCAGCGTCCATGAACTGAAACCCAGCTCTCACCTGTGGCTTCCAGAAGCTAGGCTCTGCCTAGCGGCCACACCCCGGTAACCGCCTCAGCCGGCAGGCTAAACCACGTGAGGGTATCCGTAGGTGTATCTCCGCACAAGGCAACTCGGCTTCGCTGGCCGGGTGGATCACCACCTCGGTAGCTCCGAGACGAGACTCCATCTGCAACACGGCAGGAGGCCGCAAGATAAGTGAGCTCCCAGGTAAGCGAACCTTGCTCTGCCGTCTTTGCTTTGCCTGTTCTTGCCTGCTTAATTTCTGTCTACTTGTTTGTGTGTGTCTTTGTTGTAAACTAAGTGACGTTCCGTTGAATTACCTCTGTCTGCCTCTGCTTACGCTTGCACTCACTGGCCTGCCCTTCGTCTGCCTTACAGAGTGACGAGAAATCTCTGTTTCCTGTCTCTCTACTCCCCCCCCCCCATCTCTCCTCTTTCCTTCAAGCTTACGGCAATGTCGTAGGCAGGCCCAGGCTAACTCGGATCGTTCCTACACTAAAAAAGCCGTGGCCCATAGTGGAATTCGGCAGCCGTCTGGGACAACTGAGCAGCCCTATTTAGGGAGAGGACTGCTCACCCCTGCGAGGGGGGAAGGGCTAGAAAAGGTGCCCTAAACAAATGTTGGGGATCCACGCCGTCGGCAGGCTAACCGTGGCCAGACGCAAAACTCACGGTCGAAACAATCAGACCAGAAACAACACTCTCTCACTCCCCCCTCCTTGCCTCCGCGCCAGCTCACAGGTCGCTAGAGTGAGTCCGCCCAATCTAGCAGCCTGGAATTTTCGTTACCTTTTGGACAATTCCAGAAGCAGTTGACTGGAATGGAGGACGGCGCTAGTCGCTCTAGAACTGGAGCGCTATAAGGCAGGAATCGCTTCACTTACCACATGGGCCTATTAAGCCACGTGGGCATTCAGGAAAACCTGCGGTAGACAACCACCGGCTAAACCA